AATAATTTTTTGTCAGAAAAAACTAGATATGTGGATCATCATTTTATAGTTTACAGAATTGATCTAGCTCGTTCCGTTCGGGAGATATAACGATTCTTGAGAGGACAAGTTTTTTTGAACGACTGGATAATAAAAATTGTTGTATATTTTTTGTTTTAATTTGATTATAAAGTAAGTTTACAGTTATTAATTATAATTATAGTCCACTGACACAGACGGATGTTGATAATGTCCTCATTCAGGACTCACTTCAGTTGATTCAATGTCTGGTCTATAGTTCACCACACTTTGAGACCACAATCCAAGTATTTCCTCTCTTACGGCAATTAATACAAGACAAACAGACAGACCCTGAAGTGATCAGCGAATCTTTGTGGACAGTCTTCGTATGCAACGAGCGATTCTCAAAATGGCGACAATTGATGGTCACATCTAAAGTCTTGAAACATATAATTCAACACTGGATTGACTTCAAAAACAGCGACGCTATAGTAAAGCCAGCGTTTGGTATAATCGCCGGTCTTATGGCCCGACACCCGAACTACAAGAAGCATCTGTTGGCCGCTGACAATGAGTTTCTTCGCGGTCTCTCAATTCTGGCCAATCATAACGATCTGAACAAGTTTTACACGATGTCTGTCATTCAGTTGGCGTCAATGAGAGCCATTGAAAATAGATATCAAAACGTCGTTCAACACATCCAGCAATTAATTGACGGCAAAGCCATTGAAATGTGTGTTCAATCGCTTCAAACCGATGGCTCAATGAAAGTAAAGAAAAGTGCATTGAATGCCATTATTGTTGCCGTATATAAAGCCAGTGACGATCAACGGGATTCAATTGGCCGAGGTTTGTGCCCAATAGTACCTAGATGATTTTATTAATTTATATTTATTCCATGTCTAAAACTAGCCATCAACATGGTCCATTGCAAACACGGACTAAAGCCATGCCGGGATTGTTTAATTGATGCCTTTATAGCCCTCTATAACAAAGATACAGATAATGGACAGACATGTGGTGAAAGTCGAGTCGGAAGGGAACCAATGATATTGCGGGATAATAAATATCCCACCTATGTGAATATTAAATTAAAGCAACATGATCTTTATTACTTAACTTTTGTTTTTGTCCAATTAATTGTTTAGTATTATGAACTGGAAAAACAAATGGATCAGTTGTTTGAATATACCAAGAGCACTGATTGGTGGCCAATCTCTGTGGGCAACACAATTATTACCATCGTCTTATATTTGTTGTTATAATAGTTATTTTATTACACTTTTATACTAATAAAGTGAATGATTCTGAATTAATTGTAAATGGTGATCATGCTTGATTTAATTATTCACAAGTTATTCTAATATTTTATTAATTAAGATTTTATTATTAATTAAAATAATACATTACAAAAAATATTAGTGTTATATTCATGAAGGCATTAACAAAAGCCCTGTTACCCACATTGTTTATCCTGATCACTTGAATCACATCCATGCGGTCTGCTTTCAAATAAACCTCAAACTCAAATTTCTCTCCATTTAATTGACCACAATTTGTAAACAAATAATCGACAACAGTTACCGTTTCATTTGATTTGTCAGCTACTATTGATCTAGTTATGTTGGTAGTAGCAGCAGGGTAAGCTGTTCTCACTGGCCAACACCCATTAGTCGTCTTTATCCCGTGATTGGCGGTTAATTTAGACAGAAAATCACTTTTCATATAATAATTGTTGTTAAAAGTGACCAAAACTGTTGTGTCGTTAACGCTGTCGAGTCCTATGGGACCAAAACGGCTGGCGTTCAGCCCTTTTAAGTCAATACCAACGCAAAGAGCTCTCCCGGACACCACATCTGGCGTGTAGTGCATGTCTGTCACCGCCGGATACGCCACCCGAACGGCAGATAACTCTTTACCAATTTGTTTGTATAGTTCTTCGGGCGGATCCAATACCGATCGGTTCCAGTGTTGGGCCAATAGATATGCGTCAATATCTGTCCATTTTGTTGCTGTTATTGTTGCGAGTGATTGGTTTAGTTGGGAAATAATGATCATTATTGTCAGCAAAACACTATTTGTATAGAAATTCATTTTGAATACAATATGTAAGTAATCTTTAAACACTTCATTTGTCTTTGTTTTATACTAATGAATGTTTTTTGAAGCATCTGTTTATATACAGTACAATGGATTTATCTTAATTATTATCAATTAATATTTTAATTACACAATTGTATTGTAATAAACAATTATTAATTAATATCTACCCATGATACCATTGTATATGAGCATGATAAAACAATATAGGAAATCAACAAAACCAATTTTTTAATGCAATTTTAATATCTTTTTATTTCAATTTTAATTATAATTATTATGTAATTAAATGTATAAATGACATAATCTTAAATCATTTACTTATTCGAGGAGCACAGGGTCCATTTTGCCGCCCACTCGATCTACTTTGGCCTCGATTCGGAACATCCAGGTCTGTTTGAGGGGACAATTATCGGGAATTTGTTCAAAACAATTGTCATTATCATCTACTTTGACAAAGTAATAAGTCACGGGTTCGGTGTCCGACATTGTCTTAAACTCTTTATCGGGGAATTGGATGCGTTGAACACGTGATTTGCCCCCGATATTGCCCACAGAGCGACAGCCGCGCGCCGATACCAACTCAGACGTGTTCCCAAAGTTTTTGACCACTTCGTCGATCAATACAAACGTATTGTAGGGACGGCTGAATGCGATCATCACATCCGTGTCGCTGACGAGGAGGGCCTCAATGGGTCCCAAATGACTAGTGTTTAGTTTTGGCAGATCGACGCCACTGCATATTAGTTGACCCAATTGAACGATCGGTATGTCGTGTACGTCGGCCACTATCGGGTACTTCTCTCTAATTGCGGTCAATTCCTCGTGAATTACTTTGTATACAGCCATCGATGGTTCCAGTAGTGATCGGTTCCAGTCTTGTGCTATGATGAACGCATCCCTGTCCTCATAGGGCGTGTCGATAGAGTTGATAGGGTTGGCCATTGATTGGTGACCGATGCCAATGATTAGCACAATTATTGCTAGCATTTTATATTTGCTGTGATAATTGGTTTGTTTTAATATAGATTTTATAAATGTGTTTATTTATAATTATTTTATTTTCTAGATTTTGAGGCTTTATATACTCTATAATTATAATAAAATTACAAAACGATTGTGTAATTAATTTGTAAATTAGAGTAAGTATACAATGATATCGATAAGTCATTTCTCTGATGGGGATTAAACACAATACAATTCCCAGCAATAATTTCATGTAGATTAAGATTAAGTGTAAATTGTGATCACCAGCATAGTGTAACACATGCACCTAGCATTTAAACTTAAGCCTTATATTGTTTAATGAGACTTAAAGCACATGTTAAATTCTGTCCGGAGATATACCTCATCGGGGGTAATTTGCTTATTATTTACTATATTGAAGCTAATTATTTAAAGACCAATATGTTATAATGAATCATTTACTTCGTGGTTGTTTTAGAATTACTTAATCACTAATCAAGATTTATTAAACTCTATGCCAATTTGAAATAATTGTAACAAAACAATATTATAAATCTTAAAAATTAATTTTTAAATTTATTACAGCAATTCAATTTATTTAAAAATTACTTATTAAATAATTAGTCTAATTGTTGAGTGTTATTGTGGTTCAATTGGCATACATTGGATCCATAATCTATGATAGTGCACATGCGGACAGTGCCGCTATCCCGGTATATGTCCAACAACTTATGCCATTCCCACGTTATATTACATTCACTCTATTAAAAATAAAATATAATTTTTATGTAGTTATTTAATTGAGTTAATATTCGGAATTTAAATAACATACAATGTAATTGCAATCACCCAGATCGCTTTAATCGTTTTTTATACCTGAGCCCCGTTTTTGAAGCAATCAAAATAAGCCCAATTTTGACAACACATTCGCACCATAGGTCTGCCCTCAGCTCTCTTTTGGGGCCAATTGTGCGCCCAATCAGTCATACATTGTCTGACCGATTGTCGGCGAATCTCCAAACATTGGGCCATTCCTTCCAGTTCTCCGTTTGTCATATTTGTAATCGTAATGTTGAGGGAATCCGATAACACTGTGGTTTGTATTGCCACAAGTGCATAACAAATAACAAACACTTGTAATTTAAGCATGTTAATTATTTAGGGTTGGTAATTGTTTGCGTTCGTGTATTGTAAGCTTTAACTGAAAATTAGTTTTCATTATACTTACTTTTATGTATTGTTTTCTAATAATGTATGTTTTAGGAAACACAACATTTCCATATAAAGTCTGTTATATTTTTTGTCTCAATTCCTGTATTGATATATAAATATATATTTAATTACAAATCACTCAACAAACCATTTATAGTATTTTATTGAACACATTAAATAAATATAAAAATCTAGAAAATACTATAATCAAATAAGATATGTACAAAGTGAATTTATATTTACAAACAAATATCAATTACACAAAATAAATACAAAAATTTAAATAAATTAATAATAAACATTGGATTGAGGATTGACATTAATAATGAACATTGTGGTAAAGTTAGCTTCTTTAAGTTTGGCCTTAATCCTATATTCGCTGCCTTCAACATACTTAACAATAATTACCCTGATAATGACAAATAGAATGATCCCAATTACCGTACAGAACGTATTTACATAAATAAACACCATGGGCTCGGGGCTCATGTATGTTGATATAAGCAATGCAAATAATGCCTGAAACAAACCGACCAGAAATATATACATACCCCCGATTATATTGGTCATCGGGGTAATCGACTCGACCATCTGGAACACCGCGGCAAAGATCGGGCCCAATCCCAGGCCCATCAACACGTTGGCCGCCCAAACCACAGCCACCGACGTGTTTGAGTAGATAATAAACAGTATTTGCGAGACTAATAATATTACAAAACTGTAGTAAATGTTGACGTATGGGCCCAAGAAGTAGGACATGGGTATGGATAGGGCCCGACTCAGGGCGTACGAGCCCAGCATCACAGACAACATATCGTTGGCCAACTGATTATTGAGCTGAAGTCCGCAGAGGTTACCGAATTCGGTCCAAAAGGCCACATAATTCCACTGAATCGCTGTAACGAAGCCTATCATGAATGCCGACAATACAATCAACGATAGGATAGTTTTCGTGGGCATCAGTTCCGCGGCCAACCGGTCGGTCACTCGAGTACACAACGACGCCTTTTTATGGTGTATTCCTTGAGGGCTATTCTTCGACTTCTCCACCACTCGAGGCGTGTATTTGTGGTAGAAGTTGAGGCCACCGATGATGAGAGCGCAGGCCATGATAATTCCGCCAACGAATAACAGCGGGATCTGTATTCTCGTGGGACTCGTAAAGGGTATGATCTGATCCACAAGAGTTGTGGTGCCGTTTGCGGTGATATTCACTTCAACCGATTGATAAGTGGTCTCCGAGAGGAAAGGGTTGGCGATAAGGGGTGTGATTAGGGAACCGACCGCCAACACGAACTGCAGACCTTGTGTATAGGGGCCGCAGTTGTGTTGCCACATCTCCACTATCCATACGCTGGTCACGGAGTCTATAGTCCCGCAGAATAGCATATTTAGCCCAAAGTTAAAGTACAGGAGACCAATGTTTGGGTAATATGTGTAGAGACTGGCTGTCAGGCCAGTGATAAGCATGCATATGGAGTACGCGATCTGGCCGTTGATCATGTTGTATAATGGGATCACTTTGGATTGATAAATTAACATGATTAATATTGTTGTTCAACATAGTTTAAAATGTTGTTGATTATGATTTACATAGCGCTCCCAAAGTGTATGAAAATCCGGACACTGTGTTAACTAAAGGTGCCCAAATTTTACACCTCACTACACATAGCATCTAACCCTTATGTTGTAATTTATACACTATTCATGTGTTACTCACATATAGTGTACTTAAATATAATTAGTGGGGTTTTATTAACTACAAATAATAACTCTTATATATTGACAAATTAAATCATTTTAATTAAATAAATTTAAACGACAATTATTTTTTAATGAATTTAGAGTATTTATTATAAAATCATTTTATTTACAAATTATAATCGTAATGAAATATATCATTATAATTAGATTTTATGTAAGTCTGTGTGCGTTTGCGAGACGGAAGATGGAGAGAGAAGAGAGAGAGAGTCAAACAAACAATTGCCAGAAAAATCAGCAAAAACATCGCCAAGGTATTTTAAGCCAAAATGGAATTTAGATTAATAAGCCCAAATCGGGAATTAGGGGTCAATTCATGGAAAACGGATTCTTTATATTTGACGGCAAAAAGACTATTGAAATGCAAACCGAGTCTAATGTCAGTGAAAACGATATCAAAGATAATCTCACGTTTAAGACACTCACAGATGTTGTCTAATATTGCCGTCAATTAATGTTAACTAATATTATGAGTAACAATAATTACAAAATAATCACCATATTATTCTTAAATTAATAAAATTAAATTGTCACTGTACAAATATATAATGAAACTAAATTTTAATTCTATTTAAAACCTACATTAAAATTATTTCTCTTTTCCTAAGGAATATATTATACAATAAATAATTATAAAATTTTTAAAATAATAATTAAATAAGATATTAATACGAAATAAGGTAGTAGTATTACAGTAAAGGTTATAAATTATAATAAGTTATTTTAATTAATGATTACAAGCATTAAAACATTATAAATAAATTATACTAAACTCAAAATCAAACACGTTTAGTTTGAAAGCCCAAATTAATAATGCAATAATAATAAAATATTAAATAATCTCAAATATTATAGTGATAACAGCAACGAGAGTAAATATTGCAACTTTTATCTTACCATATTTAATTACATGTGAATTGTATGCACAGGTATAATAGGGTTACATAACAGACTCGGTGGCGCAACGGTAGCGCGTCTGACTCCAGATCAGAAGGTTGCGTGTTCAAATCACGTCCGGGTCAATGTAACTTTTTATATCTTTTGATTTACTTTTTTAAATTAAAAATATAATTACATAGAAGAATTAAATACATTGTTAAGTTTAATATTATTATAAATGTTAGACAATAAATAATATAATTAATATATCCATATTTTCCATTCACATATTTATCTAATATTTTAATAGATTTAAATTATTATAATTTATAAATTAAAATAAAGTGTAGTAAATGTAGATTGGTGTGACGTGAAATTGATTAATTTTGATAAATATAATTGGGATACTCACTTTGTCAGCATACACTATTGTATAAATAAACATGCATAGAATACAATATTTCTCAATTATAACTTATAATTTATAAGGTAAGTAATAATAACTTGTTTATTATTTCTATCAAAATCTTGGCTATAAAATGTTTTGAATTAATCATGTTGTTATTGCTAGAATTATAATTATTAATTTAATCAAACACTATCATTACTACAAATAATTTTCAATATAATTGTTATTATGTTCAATTCAATTAATTAATGTCACTAATGTATAATTCATTTATTGCATTGCATAATACATTAACAGGATTTGGGTATAGTATTATAGACTAAAATAATGTTATAAGTTATAACTTATAACTTATAATTGCATGATAATTATAATTTATAATATTTTGAAATATAATTTTAAAATATGCCCATGACAAATCATAAAACAATTACTGTGTAAACATGTAAATGTACCTACCACTTGATTATTTACTTAATATGATTTTATATAATTTAGTAAAGTTACTTAATTATGTTTCAGAATTTTTTTTATATAAGTAATTAAAACTATTAATTAATTTAATATAACATTAATTATTGTATTTATAAATATATTTTTATTAACCACCCTATTATCAAAATATAACATTAATGTTCTTAATTCATGTATCAACCAACAATAACATACACAAAAACAACCATAATAAATAATTTAACTACTATTTACTAATACAATGACAGAATTATCAACGAGATATAAATTATTCTTAACATTTATTATTTACATCACTTATATGTTTTACGTAAGTATTAAATCTGTTATTATATTTAACTCCAATTAACAATAATATATGAGAATTAACTAAACAAACATTTATTTGACATTAAAGTCCATTCAAAATGTGATTACTGGACCCATTCTTCAGGATCTGCAAACTCTATACAACGCAACGGTGTATCAGATATCAAATGTTAACACTAAAACAGCTCAGGTTGAAAAAGGGGGTGTTATTTGTATGACGTGGTTACTGAATCAGCAAGGTGTTTTTTAAATTATTCATTATAAACGTTACGCTTAATGTAGTAATCGTCTGCCCTCTCATTACCACAATTAATTATTTATTGTAAACATTAAAATAAATAAATACCACATTTATTACAAATATAAATACAATATTTATTTTAAAAGTTAAAATGAATTCAACAGAAAATTATAATTTTGTGAATGAATTGAAAGAGAAAGCGAGAGTTCTTGAAGAGAGAGAGAGAGAGAGCACTGGAAGCGAGAGAGAGAGCACTGGATACGAGAGAGAAAGCACTGGAAGCGAGAGAGAGCTATAGAAGAGAGATAAAGAGTTCTCATGGAGAGAGAGAGAGCCAAAGAGAGACCGACGATAAGGAGAGAGACAGAGAGACCGACAGCGAGAGAGACACAGAAGAGGAGAGAGAGACCGACAGCGAGAGAGAGACGGAAGAGGGAGAGAGAGAGAGACCGACAGCGAGAGAGAGACGGAAGATGGAGAGAGAAGAGAGAGAGAGTCAAACAAACAATTGCCAGAAAAATCAGCAAAAACATCGCCAAGGTATTTTAAGCCAAAATGGAATTTAGATTATTTTTTTATATACCAAGGTGGTGTTGGCATATGTTTAATTTGTAAAACCAATAATTGTGATTATGGTAAAATTAAAATTATAACAAATAATAATTTATTAAGACATTATAAAAAATTTCATAATAATTATTTAAATACTTCTGACTTAGAAATTCGGAAATCTAAGTTTAATGAATTGTTAAAATTTTATAATAATATAAATACAACACTCAGTAATAGTAATAATTATAGTTATGATAATAATAATGTAGATAATATTATAGCAACAAATAATATCAATCATAAGTTAATTAGTTTAAAAATTGCAACAGAAATTGCAAAATATTTAAAGCCTTTAAACAGTGGAATATTTGTTAAAAAATGTATTTTAATAATATTTGACATTATGTATCCGGGTAATTCTGGTATTAGAAATAATATAAAAAATTTAATTATAAGTAGACCTACAATAACTAGAAGAATTGAATTAATTGCTGATAATATAGTAACTGAATTAAAAATTAAATTATCTAATGCCAAATATTTTTCAATATGTTTAGATGAAACCACTGATTTAATTGGTAAAAAATATATGGTAATTTTTATTAAATATATTGACAATAATTTTAATTATTTTGAGCAATTTTTTGAGTTAATAGAAATCAAAACCACATCTACAGCAAATAAATTATTTAATATTATTATACAATGCTTTAATAAATATAATTTAGATGTTAAAAAACTAGTGTCTATAACAACCGACGGTGCACCCAATTTATTAGGCAAAAATAATGGGTTAGTTAAAATATTGAGAACACATTTAAAAACTGAATATAATAAAAATTTAGCAAATTTTCACTGTTTTTTACACAAACAAAATTTAGTAATTAAAGAAATAGAATTTGATAATGTAATTGACCGTGTTATATCAGTTGTTAAATTTTTGAAATCTAAGGGTAATATACACAGACATTTTAAGAAATACCTATTAGATAAAAATTCTGAATATAGTGATGTACTTTATTATACTCAAGTTAGATGGCTATCACTTGGCAATTGTTTAAAACGATTTTTTTTATTATTAGATCATATAATTAACTATCATAAATTAATTGGTAAAAAAACTAATTTATTAAAAAATAAGTGTTTTCAATTAAAATTAGCTTTTTTAGTTGACATTACAACTGACATAAATAAAGTAAATATGAATTTACAGGGTAAAAATCTATTTATTATAGATATGCTTAGTTGTGTGAACAATTATCTAATTAATTTAAATAGTTTATTAATGGATTTAAATAATTCTAAATTTGATAGGTTTTATCATGTTTTATTAATAATTAATAAATATAAGGTTAATATAAATAAAACGACTGTAAATAAATTTATTAAATTTATAAAACTTATTCAAAATAATTTTAAAAAACGATTTAATGAATTAACCAAATATGACAATCAATTTAAATTGTTTTCAAACCCTTTTGAATTAATTAATTGTGAATCTGTCATAAAATATCACAATGAAATTACTTGTTTATTGCCATATAAATCTGAGTTTTTAAAAATTAACTCTAATTTTGACAAAATTATATTTTACCATAATTTACCGAATAATTCACCTCATTCATTTAAGAAATTAAAAAACAATTGTTTAAAATTATGCACTTATTATGGCGGTCAATACATTTGTGAGCAATTTTTTTCTAAATTAAAATTTAGAAAAAGTCATGCATATTCATTGAATACCAATACATTATGTAATATTTTCAGAGTATCATGTAACGAGGTGTAATTTTAATTATATGAATTAAATATATTGTATTATTCACATTCTCTCTCTCTCTCTCTCTCTCTCTCACACTAATAGAATTGGAATCTTCTATAATCTCAGTGTTTATGGAATTCTGATTGAATAGACTTTCTTCGTTAGGTTGTGTTGAATATCGCATATTGTTTTCATTTATCATCATTTCTGGTGTCATTTCTTCAGTTGATCCAACATTTGTGGTTATATTTGAAGTTTTGTGTGATTCCGGAATAAGTAATGTTTCGTCCGTCCATTCGATTGATTGTCTTTTGTTGAAATCAAATGCAATTTTGTTGTTTTTATTTATAATTTGTGACTTTAAATCGACGCCAAATGTGCTTTCATTTGATTCAATTGAATACTTGTTGTCTTCATTTGTGCTGATTTGAGGCGATGTTTCAGTTGAGATATATTCAGAAACAGTTGAATCTTTAAAAGCTATCAATGGATTTGATTCAATAGAATCCGCTATTCCTTCGGTTCTGTCGTTTACTTTTAAATTGTTTTCAAATTCTTGTTCACCAATAGATTCAATATCTTCTGCAATATCAGTGTTCATCAAATTCTGACATTCTTCAGTTGATATTTGATTTACATAGATATTTGAAGTAACCAATGTTTCTGGATAAACAATTGTCTCGTCCTTCCATTCAGTGGATTGTCTTTTACTAAAATCAATGACACGTTTATTGTTTTTATCTCTCATTCGAGGCATTAAATCAGCACTAATTATGCTTTCATTTGATTTAATTGGATAATTGTCTGCATTTCTTGTAATTTCAGGCGTGATTTCAGTTGAGATGTTTTGTGAACTGATTGTGTTTTGTGAAGTTATTGATTGATTTGATTCAATAGAACCCACCGTTTCTTTGTCATTGATATTTTGCATATTCTTAAGATTTTGATCCATTTTATTATCAGTTAATTTTGACAGAATTTCGTTATTCATCACTGATTCTGATTTTGAATGTTGTTTATTATCAAACATGTTATCGGTGTCATTACAATTGGGATAATTATCAATTGTATTATTCGTTGTATATATTGTATCCATTTTTTGGGACAAATCATCAGAATTTACAGAATTATCCGCAATAGAAATGACTTGATTTGAATCAATTGTTTGTCCACTTTTCGATGTTTCTGCCAATACTTGCGATTCTATTAGCTCTGACTCCGAATGGTTTTGTTTAATTAGATTAAGACCCGAGTCGTGAAGTGGTAGAAGTTTCTCTTCGGTAGTGACGACCACTTTCTCCAATGCTATTCTATCATAAGAATTAACAGTTTTGTTGCTTTCACAAACTTGAACGTTATCTTCAGTAATGACCGCATTATTATCATTACATTCTAAATCATTTTCAATTTGGTTAACATTTAAATGAATCTCTCGATCAGTCGATGTTTTAGTTTCAATTACTTTTCGGTTATTTTTCTTCTTTTTTCTATTCTTTCCAGTTTTAGATAAATGTTTTGTCTTTTTATTTATAGAATCGTTCATCGATTGCATCACTTCTTCAATTCCGTCATTTATTTTAAAGTTATTTTCATCCAAATTCTGTTCACTAATGCAATCATTTTCTTCTATGATATCAGTGTTTATACTCTTCTCATTCAACAAAAATTCTTCATTCAATTCAATTGGATATTTGTTGTCTTTATTTGTGGTCATTTCAGATACGATTTCATTTGAGATATTTTCGGGTGTTTTCAATTGTTTTGTATCAATTATATTAACCATTTCTGTGTCATTAATATTTCCCAAATCTTCAATATCCTGATTAATCGTGATATCAGTCGTGGTTTTCATTATATC